TATATATATATATATATATATATATATATATATATATATATATATATATATATATATATATATATATATATATATAATATGTTAGGTTCATATAAAACCGTTATATATAATTTTCCATGACATTTAAGTAAATTTGAATGGCTTGTGCAACATTTAGGGAGTATGTTGTTAAGTCATAAACACTTTTCAACTTATAGCTTATAACTTATTAGATAATAAGTTTGGGGTGATTTACTTATAGATTTCGACTTATTTTTGATATGACATTTTGATAAACTATTTCTATCCCATCATACTTTTTAGGTTATTAATGGTTTGAAAGAGTTAATAAACTAAAAAGAAGTTTAAATAATCCTAACCAAATACCACATATAATATTGCCTTCCATGACCTTTAAAAAAATTGAAATGACTCATGCAACTCAAACCATAGAAACAACACTAATACTAAAATCCGAAAACTTATGTTCAAAATTTTTACTCATAACGTCGAAATCGAAGATTATGTAGAAAAAATGTATTTGTTGTTAGAAAAGCATGTTTGAACCTCCGAAATGAGTTCGAAACTGACAAATTTCAAAGATAATGGTTGTTTTTGTATTTTTCTCATTACGATGATTATTGTTATATACAAAAATTGTTATTTCTGTGATTATCCCATACTTTTATGTGTTATGACGATTTGCCAAGGTTTTAATCGATACTTGAAGGTTGTTTCTTGATCCGCCCAAAACTAAACCTCTGCGTTGCATTATCCCGTTCATCTCTCTCTCTCTCTCTCTCTCTCTCTCTCTCCATGGAAAGTGTTGTTCATAGCTTCGTATCACCTCCTGACCACAGGCTACAATCACAAAACTTCTCAGCGATGAGAAGTTCATCGATGTCACCATCACCCATTGCACATAGAAGCATACCGTCCTCTCGTTGCCGCGCAGAGAAGCCCATCGTAGCTGCTGTTTTCCCTTATTCACATTCAGTCTTCCCTTTGTCTACACCCCTCTCACTACCTTCTTCTTGTCATCCGAAAGGTAACATAATTATGTTTTTGTACTGAAACGTCTCATAGGGAATTGTATTTTTGCAAATTGCAATTACAATCTGGTAATGGCTTCCACACGAAGATTCTTCTTCTATGAGATTGAACCTTTAATTTTAATTTGGGGATCATTTAGTTCGTTATTGGAACTCCCTCATTTCTTCAAATTCACGTCTATCTGGTTTAGTCGTCCCTAAGTTTTCATGATTGCTAATTGTGTTTCTATTTGTTTGGCATTTGGAATTAGTTCAGTTTTATTCGCAACACCAGATGCAGGAGTGAGCAGTGAAACAGGTGTATGGGCGATGCAAGGTAATGATACAGTGTATTATTATTCCTACTTGCATTAGCCATTGGTTTATAATATTTTGCGACAGATTTCTATAGTTTGAGGAAGGATGTCGAGGCAACCTCCAAACGTGTTGAAGAAATTAGGGCTTCTGCTGGTTTAGAGCAACTGGGAGAAGAAGTTGCTAAATTGGAAAAAGCAACAGGAAGTGATTCTTTTTGGGATGATCGTAGCTCAGCTCAACAAACACTTATGGCACTCACGGATATCAAAGACAAGATGAATCTCCTCAAGGAGTTCCAAGACCAGGTTCGATCTTTTTATTTCCGAATTCCAATCAAGCATCATGTTGAAAAGAAAAAAAAAAAATTTAAAACTGACATGGTACATTCTACATTGATATGTTAGATTGATGATGCAGAAACTATAGTTAACCTTACAGAAGAGATGGAGTCGACTGATACTGCACTTCTTGAAGAGGCTGCTTTGATCGTGAAAGAACTGAATAAAGCATTAGATAAATTTGAGCTGAGTCAGCTTCTTTCTGGGCCCTACGATAAGGAAGGTGCTGTTATCAATATAACAGCTGGTGCTGGTGGTACGGATGCACAGGTAATGCAACACTAACACACCTCTGGATCTAGATCAACTTAAAACCATAGTGAAAGTTGTCTTAGAATCTTATGGCTTAGGTTATGAGGCCATTGGTACTTTGAATTGTTTTTTGTTTATAGTTTGAAGGATTTACTGAAAATTGGTTTGTATAGGAATGAGATTGTTATAGATAGGTACGGTAAGAGTCTTTTAAAGTAGAATAAGATGATTGAGTTGAGTGCAGGATTGGGCGGATATGCTTCTAAGGATGTATGTAAGGTGGGGAGAGAGGCAAGGATACAAAACAAGAGTGGTGGAGAAGTCAATGGGGGAAGAAGCCGGGATCAAATCAGCGACAATAGAGGTGGAAGGTCGATATGCGTTTGGATATCTTTCAGGAGAAAAAGGAACACATCGAATCGTTAGGCAGTCTCCTTTTAATTCAAAAGGTCTTCGTCAGGTACTTTAAGGTTCATTACTTGTATCCATGACACTATTACTAAAATAGCCTTTGTCTGGATCCAGACAAGTTTTTCTGGTGTAGAAGTGATGCCACTTCTTCCGGAAGATTCTTTAAACGTGGAAATCCCGGAAGAAGATCTGCAGATTGGGTTCTCAAGAGCAGGGGGGAGTGGCGGTCAGAATGTCAATAAAGTTGAAACCGCGGTCAGGATCACGCATATTCCCACGGGGGTAACCGTCCGCTGCACGGGTGGGTATACTGATTGATTGATTGATATCTATTTATAAATAAATTAATAAATAAATAAATTTGTTTTTAGAGGAGAGGTCACAGCTTGCGAACAAGATCAAAGCATTGAGCCGTTTGAAGGCAAAGCTGCTGGTGATTGCGGTGGAGCAACGGGCAAGTGAGATAAAGCAGATAAGGGGAGACGCGGTGAAGGCGGATTGGGGGCAGCAGATAAGGAACTATGTGTTCCACCCGTACAAGCTGGTCAAAGATGTGAGGACTGGGTATGAGACCACTGATATTGTCTCTGTAATGGATGGTGAGCTGGATCCTTTTATTAAAGCCTACCTTAGATACAAATACACCGAGTCCATGTCCAATTAGTTAATTACCAAAGGAAATATGTTTTGTTTCCTTCTTCTTCTTCTTTATGTATATGAGTATATGTTGTACTTCTTCAGCGGCCATGCTACTGCTACTTTAACTGTAAGGTACCGACATTCATTAACTCTTGTAATCAACTCATTTTAGATAGGATGGCTTCATCAACTAACAAAATGGCTGCTCGCTTCTTGGTTTTCCAATCCAATGCTCAATAAAATCATCAAAAAGTTTCAATTTATTTATGAAAGAGCTTATTTTGGTTATGTAGATTTGGAAATAGATAAATCTACTAGAACAAAAAAAAAAAACAACGGGGTTCAATTTGTTTCAAAAGTTATATAATAATGTACCGTTTTATTAATGCATGCAGAATGCACTGCATTAATAACTCGTACTCGTTTTATTAAATAATGGCTACTGATTATTGTTATGGTTTTGGTTATCATATTGGATGCATTAGACATCAGAGGTGGCAACTCTTGACTAGATATAAACAAGTTTAACTCGTACTCGTTTTGGATGATAATGTATGTAGTATGTACCATGCCATGCATGAGTAGGGAGGGTGTTTCTAGTTTTATTCCGATAAAAAACAAGATGTTTCATGGAACATAGCTACTACTATTTATATAGTTTAATCCAAATGCTACTAAGGCTGCTTGGTATGGAACCTTTTTTTATGCATGATAAATGGATGGGGTTCAACGGTGAACCCAAAACCTAGTGATTGTATTGTGGAGTGGAGCTTTGCACTAGCCCTTCATAATATATATATATATATATATATATATATATATATATATATATATATATATATATATATATATATATATATATATATATATTTCCACTAGTGAACATTACCCCCAAGGCTAGTAAAATTGGTGTGGAGTGAATATCTTGATGTGGTATGCTCTTCACCACCTTTTCACGAATGCAACTGGTGCAAATATCGGATAGCCAAATCCTAAGTTGTATATACCTTCCCACCCCACCCACCCAGAAAAAGTCAACATCCACAATAAATGCAATCCATATTGGAACTTAAACTTACATATTATTATCAAAAAAAAAAAAGTTTTATGTAGGAACTAGGAAGGGATACAAGAAGCAACTAATACTATAGTACACACATTACTCATCCCTCTTTGAGTTGAGATAATTTCATATAACCATCCATCTTAGTCGATTTGTTTGAGATGGTTAAATCTTCTTTACCATCACGCACAATCAATCCATAAATAGGTTTTGAAGGTAAAGTGGAACAACATAATAATATACTAGTTATGAAAATTCACTTTTACAAAACAGAGTACATCTCTTTTCTATCACCTCATGCTATTGCTAGTTTTTGTGTTTAAACTTGGGCATTACCTTCAAACAGCTTGTTTTGTTTCCCCCTTCCCCATGTTTGTCGTGTGGGACACGGGCACCCTTTTCTCAACCACAACTCCACAAGACAAGTAATCGTTCATGTTTTTCAACAATCAGCCATATGGCCCAACACTCACAATTTTAAACTGTTTATATATTAATATTATTATGATTCATTCATTCATTCATTCATAAATAGTTAAATACTAGTCTACCAACCAGACAGAAAGACACCCTTGTGCTCACATCACATCACAACATTCAAATATCAGATAGCAAGACATAATTTGACCATCAACCCAATACCACCATACCCGTCATGTCTAAAGATGGACTCGAAGGTTAGGTAGCCTTGACTTTTCCTTCAAGCTTGCAACCATTTATATTTATTTATGTGCAAACTCTCACCTCCTTTCTTTAGAAGCTATCGCCCACATAACTTTTAAGTTTAAAATGATCTTCATTTCGGATTCGAATATTTTCCATAATTCATAGGTCAAAAAACGGATAGATGGATCTTATCAGTTTGTTGTTCCATTTGCTAAAAACAAACTACAACATTGATATAAATAATTTGCTATATATGCAAAAAAAAAAAAAAACAACCGACCTGTCGGACTTGAACCGACAGCCAAAAGGATTACAAGAATGAGAACATATTCAGATTTTACTCATCAAAGTTATCCTTCTACTCTTCCATTTGAGCTAAGGTCGGATCGGATCCATTAGGTTTGGTTACTTTTAAGCATATATACAAATACAAAATTTTCAAAATCAGTCTCTAATAATACCAAGGCAAGGAAGCTTATTCACTCCACTAATTCTTCCCATTTGTTTTGTTTTGTTTTTGTATTGCCATTCCGTAAGTAATCATCGTTTTGTTTTGTTTTGTTGTTTGGATGAGAAAATAAATACACAAATTAATAACCATTCCTTATCTTCTTGTAAGGACCGAGTTAGTAGAGTCATAGATTCCACTCACGTTTCTTTAGCCAATTCAAATTCAAAAGAAATAATATATACTTGGGCCCATCCCATCCCACACGTGGCTTGAACTTGTATTGATCAATGTCGTTAGTTAGTTAGTTAGTTGACATGCTCAACAATATGCACCCATCGTCTACTCTATAGCATGTCATATGGGACAAATATTTGTCGTCCTCATCATATAAAATTTCCCAAAAAAGCTCATCACGTCTCATTAAGCCATGTCTTGTAAGCATAACAAAATCAAAATTGATCCTTCGTGTGGTTGCGTTTTAATCTTTACACTCACATGGTTGTTTTTATCATTTTTTTTTTTTTTTGTGAAGAAGAGATGGGTAACCCTCGGGAAGCATAATATACTAGGAGAGGATGGAAAAAAAATGTTGCAAGAGAAATGAGTAATCATACCAGACGGTTGGTTGGTTGGTTGGTTACTTTGCCCCCGAAGGTTGAAATGAAACCAATTTTACGTGTCCGCCTAAAAAAATTCAAGCAAACAAAAAGAAAAAACTAGGAATTACAATCACATCAAACAACAACTTGCTCACGCTGGTAAATAAAAAACATCACTACTTTATTTGCACTTCTGCTTTCACCAAAAACTATTCAAGAAAAGAACGTTCTCAGATTTATTTGGGATACACTAATTTTTTAGTAAAGACAAAAAGATGGTGAAATAACGAAGGAATTTTATATTGTTTTCTTTAATAATCATTTTGGGGCTTTGATAAGCTGGCATGTGATGGAAATGAACTTAATCATGAACAACATATGAAAGCCCACTTGAATGAAAAAGGTTGTCCGATTAGAAATAAACTCAATGGTAGCTTTTTAGTTTGAGAATATTATAGCGATTTCTTTGTTTTATTCTCATCCTACCACAAAATTTATCTAGTTATATACATGTCATCCACTCCCAAAAAAACAAGCATACAAAAAACAAAGAGTTGAATCATCTAAAGAGATTATATTTCGTATCAACTGTGATGTGATGAGTCATTTTTTGAGGCATGTCTGTACAAAATGGTATTAGAGTGTAAATATATAAACACAAAATTAATTGACCAAAGAATTTGACTTGACTGACTATATTTACAGAAATTAAGAAGAGAAACTCATCTGCAACCGAGACATATATGCACATGAATCGGTTGTCCATCTTCTACTTCTAACAAAAAAAGAATTATCACCGGCTTGTAAATTGTCAGTTCATTGATCCACGGCATCTACATTCACAGATAAATAAATGAAATTTTTTTTATACATAAATTATAAGGTAGGTACATTATAATTCACTTTAAAAACTTAATTGATTACCTTCTAGAGCCACAGTTGCAGGGGATCTTTTTCTCTTCCAATGGGAACTTATAATTGTATGTAATTTCTTCTCCTGTCACTATGGCCCTTTTTGCATAAATAAATATCTTTTTCTGACCATCCACACTTATAACTTTAGTATAACAATTAGGCTGCAGCAATTCAAAAAAGAAAAAACATATATATATATATATATATCTTAAACGTGCATGCAATTATATAGTACATATGTAGTAGATTAATAATACAAAAACCATGTTACTTACCTCACATGAATGGTTTATAAACCTAGCAATTCCCCCACGCTTTGTTGCATCAACCTATACACAAATTGTAAATTAACTACTAAGGTATACATACAATAAGATTAAACTAGATAAACAGAGTGGAGCAAACTTTTGGTCCCCAAGTATAGCTGATTTTTGCAATTTTGGTCCTTATGCTAGAGGTTTTTGCAACGTTTTTGGTTTGGTACCAGTTCCAAGTCAACTGACTATGGTTTTGGGAACAAAATTGCATAAATCAGCAGTCATTTTACTTGGAACGAGGACAATAACAATACAAGAACCTCAAATAAGGACCAAAATTGCAAATATCAGCTATGCTCATGGACCAAAAATGTAATATCTTACCACATAACCATCATCCAATCTGAAAAGATAACTACTACCAATTCCCATCCTCTCATAATGTTGTTCCCGGATATCAGAAATCTGAAAAAAGAAGAAATGGAATTATAAGGTAAGGTAAGAACCGAATTGAAAAAGATATTTAATGGCAAGCTTACTCGAGAACGAATTAATTCTCCGACATATTCAATAACAAAATCTTCTGCTTCAATTGGCTCAAGTGCAACAAGACCCCAATCATGTATCTTACTTCTTTGAAAACGTAACCGCTTTTTCCTTGCCTGAAAAAAAAAATCAAAAAATCACAACATAAACTTTTTATGGTGATATAAGCTTGAAAAGGAATTGTGATTTGTATCCTCTAATTACATTTAGCTGATTAGCTTTTATCAGGTCAGCACCATCTGCAGCAGCAAGAAGGCTTCTCATTTTCACCCTGTTTGTTCTGGCAGATAAACCTTTCACATTTGATAAATGTGCCTCTGAAGGGGTATTTTTGTAAATTCCTCGAACACACGCCCTTTCAGAAGCAGTTGCATGTAATGACCATTTATGCCATTGCCAGCCGTCGATTGAAGTACGTGCACATCCAAAAGATAAGGGATACGTTTTGGATTTTTTCAACTTTTTATTTTGAATCTTCTGTATAGCAATTGGATCAGCATCTGCTGCTGCTTTCTTGGAAGCGGTACCACTGATGGATAATTTGGGAACTTTCACAGAGCATTGTTCTGCCACGTCATCCAAGCTCTTCCTCTTTAGTTTACGGAGTTTAAGTGCTGTAAAACACAACACAGGATCAACAAAACAATGTAGCCAGATTAAAACAAGCATACACTTACACTTACATTTTGCAACATTTTTGGACAAACTACCAGCCTTTTGAGCATTATAAGCATTCGCAGTGAAATATGGAACATTCTGTTTCTGTGTGTTGAATTTTACACCATGGACACTTGTGCCATTATCTAGGGAAATAGAATAGAATAATTGATCTTAGTGTATATAATAACAATAGTGATCCTAAACACTGCAAATGACCAGATCAAATCAAACCAAGTACCTTGACTTACAGTAGAAACCTTCAAAGACTTATGAAATGACATACTGCTATTATATGGTGATTGAACTCCATGAAAGTTGGGATCGTGATATTGTTTAGTAGCAGCAGATAGATCCTCGACCAATCGTTCGGCTCTCAATTGCCCGGATAAAGATGCAAACTTTCTTTTCGTTGACTTTCTTGACCGGGAATAAGTATAATTTGCATTGGCAATAGATGGTTCAGAAGGTCTTGAGCTTTGACCATTCCTTGACTGCTCTATGTATTTGTCATATGCAGAAACAGACTCCTTCCTTCTATTGTTTGTCAATTGCACCGGCTTATTATGTTTATTAATACCATAATTCACCGAATTATTATGTTTATTAGTAGCATAATGATAATCCACCGACACCGGTTTTTTATGTTTATTAATAGCATAATTCACCGACACCGATTTATTATGTTTATTAATAGCATAACTCAAAGATATGGATAACCATTCCCTGAGAACAATATCATGCAGCTTCTGTCTACATGCTGCCATGATAACATAAACCTCCATCTTAGGTATAGATTCCATTGCCCTTGAAGGGCGAAATGTGCATGCTTCCGGAACAATGCTTCTAGAATTCTCCTCAACAATATCTTCATGTGAATATAATTTCTTGAAAGCATTTGCAAACCAACTGGATGAAGGCATTCCAGATGCTAACTTAACCTCCTTCATTTGAGCTTTTCTTTTTTTCCTCACTTCCTTATCCACAATCTTTTCAATATACTGATGCAAAGACATCCTTGCAGATAAATGGAGATCATTTTCTAAACCTTCCGTCATATGTTCCAAGTCATAACAACTTTCATCTTCCTTTATACAATCAGCTTTAGAAACAACTTCTTCAAAACCAGGGGGATATTCATTCCTAGAAGATGAAGACTCTTGTTCTTCCTGCAATTTTATACATATTTTAATACATGACTTGAATGGAACAAAACAGAAAAGAAACACTTTTTTTAAGAAAAGAGTGAGAGGGAGAGAACTTACATCTTCTACAGGTAAAATCTCAGTCAACTCGTGACATTCATCAAGTGAAATCTGATGTTCAACAAGTTCATTGGACCCCAGTTTTTCCTTCCTCCAGACAGATACTCGATCTTCTACTGTATCATACAGAACTGCATCCCAGATGGCTCTCATGCAGGAATCAAAGAGCTTTTTGCAAAAATCAGAGTGCACCCCACAAAAATCTTCTAAAATTCTAGAGTTCTTGCATCCAAGAGGCTCATCATGATTTGAAGGGGATGTTTGTGTGTTAACACTAAGAGATGCTGCCCCCTCACTCTCAGAGTAGTCCCCCACTTCCTGTTTTGTATCATATTGTTCAGATAAAACTTAGAACCAAACATATCATGCAACACTAAAACAAGGTTGATAGCAAAAATTACCATTATGCCATCGCGTAAGCAGGTTTTGACTGTCTGCCTGGACTCTTCATCCTTATGATGAACAGTAAGTCCTTCACCACCACAATAGCCCTCCAACTCCTGGTTTTCAGCAGATACTTGTTTACTGGGAGCAAAATCCATAGTTTTGACTATCTGACTGGACACTTCATGCTTAAGAGGCCTCTCAGATTTCTTTGCAGTCACATACTCCACAATTATGTTGCTTATTATTTCATCCAAAACAATCTTTCTTGTTGCTTTCATTATTCCAGAATGTAACTGGGAGCAGACCTCCTCAGAGATATCAGAAACAAAATCCGTTAAAGAGCCCTTGTATTTAGAATGATCCATTTCACGTCCAGCAGTTACCCATGAGCTGACAATAGATTGCAAACTACAGGGCTTAACTTTACTCTCAGAATGATGTACCTACAGAATGTCAACATCAAAATTAGATTACAACAAGCTTTGCAATCTAGTTATGCATATCTTACCATCACTGAACCACGGAGATATCCATAATGATGCCAAGAATAAAGCTCCATAAGAGAATGGGGACCATGTTTCTTTCCCTGATCATCTTCAAAAACCCAGCATGATTCTTCACCTGTCTGAAGTCTCACAACACCACATAACAGATGAGTTAGTTAATTCATTAGAATCAATAAGAGATGTTTGGAGAATCAAAGCTTTAGAATCATTTTTTAGTAATACCAGTGATGGATGCGATAAAGTCAAGTTAGCTGCTTCAGATATCTGCATCTGCTGGGTGGATGTGGAATTAACTGCATCTTTATGGGCCTCTTCTCTCTTACCATCTGTGCTGATGTTCCCATGATACTTATCAGAATTCTGATTGATACTTGATGCAGAAGCATTTAAATAAACAAAGCCTGTGGCAACATGATCAGGAAATTGCCGAAAGTACTTCAAGGGCACAGGATTGGCTAAATTCCCATGCAAGATGGGATACACAGGAAGATCCTCTGGCAAGAAGCTAGTGGATAGACCATCATAGAGCTGTTCTTGTATATAGGGACCACAATATTGTCCTTGTTCATTGATGTACATCCATCCACTCACATATGCAGGCTGGGCATACCCAACATGACTTTTGTCGGTGGCATCGTGAAGGTGGAGAGCATTTTCTTTAGTGCCACTTGCCTGGCAGTTTGTGTCCATTGAAGACAGCATATATCACCTTGTGTCACAGATGGAAGAATATCATAACTGTTAGAATTCAAGAGCTCATACAGACGTGCATAATACTATGAAGCAATAGTGTCTTGAGACGTTTAACTCTTTCTAGAAGAGTATTTACACCCAGCAAATTGCATTACATCTGGGGTGGGTGATACTGAGAGTATGTTATAGTTAAGTTAAAACACAGTCAATAAGTTACATTGACAACCACAAACAAAATACAGGAAACGCTTCCCTCCAGAAATTAAATATTACACTGCAACATTTTTATCACTAAGGAAGCAAAGGCTATTAATCTCCGACATCAGTGATATGGTTCAAATGAATTTTCTTACCCTCCAACGACTCGGATAAGTACAGAGCTTTACTTGAAAACCGACGCAAGATACCAACAAAAATGAAGCAAGGCTTACTTTTAATTTCTCTGTAATAAATAAAAGACTGGAGGAACTTTCAACTCATTCATAGCTACAAATTTTTGAATCACGTATGATAAAGTTACACGTCTCCAAGAAAACCAACCTAACCCTAATTTAGTTCTACAATAAAATCCAAAGAACTGACATTGCAAACATCTAGCTGTTATTGTCAATACTTGAAACCGTAAGAAAACCTTTTCGATTACAAAAACCTGCCATTCGATTACGAAACTTCTGTGCAATCATAAAAGAAGCTACGATTAGTTAATTGACTACAAACAGCTACCTCCTTCAATAGATCAGCCTCGTCCAAAAGATTCTATTGCTAGAATCGGCAAAAGCTTTCACAATCTTCACGGATCCAGCGAGGATGTCGATTGGGGTTAAGGCCGAAGAGACACGGAATAGATGAGAGAAGCATGTAATGTATTGTGGATTTTAGAATTTGCGATGATTGCGAAAAAAAAAAAGTATTGGGTTTTTTATTCAAGCCCAGTAAACAAAACCTACCGCCCAAGTATTTGATGAATTTAACTATTTAAGAGTATGTTACATAAATGGTCCTTATACTATAGTGAAAATTACAATTCAATTCCATTTTATTTTTTTAAATAATTAGGGTTGCTTATTTCACAAACGTTATGTTATTTATTAAATTGTTTATTAATTTATCTAGTGTTAAAATATATTATACTATATATTAAAGTTCTCCATCCTTAGCTACAGTACCTGACCAGGGTACTGTAGCTTGGGTTACTTACTTCCACCCTGGTTAGTATTCGGCCCTTGTATGTTAAAGGTATCCCGATCCTTCCACCGTCTTCCTTTTATCTCCCACCGCTTCTTCATCTCCATCCTTCCACAAGGTTTCTCTTAGCAAATCCTCTATTCCCACACCGATGAGGAGCACGAACGCAACAGATCAGGGAGGTGGGGAGGATGGTTCGATGGTGCCAAATTTGTTGAGTAGCTCTGGAAAGCTCCTCCACCGTCATCATCTACTGGCCTTCGTACTGTTATTTCCGTTTTCCCTTTAATTGATCTTCTTGCCCTAAGTAAACCCTCACCATCTTCATTGGTGGTTGTCGCTTACAGTGATGGTTAACCGACATCTGTATCCTCCACCAATTTTTGTCTTCCCGATTATTCCACTCTTTTTCTACTTCATCTCCCTTCACTCTTACTGATCCAGACAAACCTACAATTGGTGTCTCACACCCCTTTTTTTCCAATCGGAGCTATTCGTGAGAAAAATCCAAGCTGAAGGTAAACCGAAATTGTCCCGGCGATTACACCTTCATCGACTTCGTTGCTATCGACGCCTCACTCATTCTACATCTACAGGTGATATCTCTCTGCATTCCTGCTCTCTCCCACGTAATCTACTTCTTTCCTTCTTACTTTGATTTTCATATTTTTGCTGCTGTCGGTGGTGTTGGCTACCACCGTCGACTACTTCTCTCTCTCATACCACAACAACACACAGAGACCATAAATCGAACCTACAGGGGTTTTTCTATTCGATTAGGGTTCATTCGGAATAAGAAAGAGGAATCGAGACATTGAGGGTGAGGCGTTCATTGTTTTCTTCCTTTGCTTCGCAACACCCATACGATCTTGGTGCTGATAACCGTTGAAGCCATCACCACTGTTTGCTCGGTAAGATTTCCCATCCCTCCTGCAGCATGGATTCATTGAAGCTTAATTTTGATAGGTATGTCTCAAATTTTTGCAAATTCAGTTGTTTGGGCGAGTGATTTCAACCTCAAATCGAAGCTATAAGATTAGGGATTTTTTTTGTTGCAGCTTCATCTAAACTCATAATCCTACCATAAAGGTTTGAGTTTTTTGGAACTGACATTTGTGATTCCTGTCATATGGTTGGTCACAGTAATAGCATAAATCGAAGCTATAAATTTGGGTTAATCCTCACACAAAGTTCGATCTGTTGTGTGTGTTTTTAGCACCTCTCTCTCGCAAAGGTACTTCTTTCTGTCCCTGTTAAAATCAGTGCACCTCACATTTTTTTTTAATTAGTTAGGGATTTGGTTGTCATTTACATTAAGCAGGATAGACAAAAATTTGATCCTAATATTCAGATGTAGACACCTCACGCCTTCTTCAAAGCCGATATATGGTCAAGTAAGTATTTCTTGAAATAAATTTATGTTTAATTTAATTTACTATATCATTTTCTTAATTTCAAGATTTTTTCTTTTTTCCATCAAAGATAGCTATGTTTTGGTGAAGTTCATTAAGCTAATTAAGCAAGCTGGAGTCTATGCTTATCTGAGAATTGGTTTGTCATTCTAAAACTTCAACTATGATTCTAATGCACCCAAAGGTCGCTTTTCGTTACATTCTTTGACTCTGTCTTCCCTACCACCGCCATTGATTGGTCGACGTTTGGGAGCAACACAAGTGATGAACTGAACCTTTATGTTGTAGGTGTTTCCTTCTACCCATCATGCTTTATGTTGTTCTTCCTTCACTAATTTCTATTTACCTGATATTGAGCGACTTTTGAAAGACTCATCACAGCTTCAGGTTTAATATTATCCACTCTCAGTTCCTCTTCTGTTGTTGGTGGCCCCATTTCCATTACTCCTGAGTTGGGTTTTGCCATGTAACACTGTACCGTCCTGTGCCCACCAACCGTTTGATGAAATTCATGTTATTGTACGTCTTCCCTTTTCACCTTATCTTAGTTTTGTTATAACGAGTCTTCAATTAAATCTTTGTTAGATGTTTCAATTTCATCATATTCCAACTGTTAGACGCATATTTGTGATGGATTAGTTTAAAAGTTTAATTTATCTGAACAAAGAACTAAACTTTTGCTTCATCATGCCGGAATTTATATATACATGATGCTTTAATGGTGTTTGTGGTGTGTGAAAAATTGCATAATTTTATAATTTCCTCATTTTAACCATGGTAGACAGACAGGTTAGATCACACCTTAAAGGGGATCCATTCTTTGTACATATAAGTGATTTTTTGGGGCTCATATATTGGGAATAGATGTGCTAGAAGCAAACACAGTAACTCTGATTCTGGATTCTTGGGTTAATCAACAGATGACTCACATTTAACAGAAGTTTTTTTTTTCCAGTATCATCATTATCATATATAATTTTGTTTGAATATATTCTAACGGAAGGCCTATTTTATGGTTTAGATGGTCAGAAATATATGGCAAGAGGAACCAATGAGACCAATTTTGCAAGCAGCCACAATTGCAAATGGGAAGCCTCATTCCATTCCTTCCAATTCCAAATAGGAAAGAGCAATCACAATGAGACCTCAAATTGTATGGGTTTTCTGTTAATATGTTTTTATTAGGAAAATTACATATTCTCTTACTTTAATTTGTTTGTATTGGCTTTAAGCATGCTAAAAGTTTAGCCAAGACATAATCTAATAATGGTGTGACTTAATTGCAAAGAATTTTACACATTTTTGGATTTAAAAAGATTGGAAAGTGTTCATATATTTGGCCATGGCTGGAGCAGAGCTATCTGAAGTATGAACATGGTGATCTCCATTCATTCTCAAGTTCCTTTTTCTTATTTTATGATTCTTTTCTCCATGATGTTTACTTCAAATATCAAAATGAAGGTTGAATTATGGAATCTCAATGCTACAGAATTGTTTGCAACATTACTACATTCATAAAATGTGTTTGTTTTTTGGAATAGCTGTTCCCTGTTAACCAGAAAAAAAACCACCACAAATTGTGAAATTGTTGTTTGCAAACAAAAGCAAACTCATCAGTTTTTTCGGTTATTTTACTTTTGAAAAGGGTAAAAAAGTAATTTATTATTCCTGTTTATATTACTTTTTAACAAAATGAATGCTTAAAACAAAATTCATTATTTATACTAAAGAGTGTTATAGCCAATGCCCAATTTGAATCAGACATCAAGTGGTGAAGGAAATTGAGGAGTCTTACAGCCATTTAGTATTTTGTTTCGTTCCCTCCATGACATAGATACATATACGATTGGTTCCCTCATGGGAATAGTGATGGTCTTTTAGGCATTTTCAGAGCTGTGACACAGTGTTTACCTGGACCTATAAGTATGTTTTTGCTTTCTTCTCTTATTGTTAAAAGTTGCACATAACTTGATCTAAATAAAGTGTTGTATGGATAAATAGTATTTGAAATGGAAAGAGGAAAGAAACGAAGTCAAATTTGTAAAAAAAGTCAATCTTTTCTTGACTTTCTCAATTCAGTCGTTAGTTCAACATGCTAAATCAAAATTTTATTTTTTCAAATAGTATATTATAATTATATTAGTACAACCTTAATCATTTTTTATTTCTCTTCCTTTCTGATTTTTTTCATACATAAGAACTTAGGCTTCTACTTTTTCAATTCGAAGGGCGTATATGTCTACATATTTTACAATTTTCTCATTGTATCCGAAATATAAGATTTGATGAGCAAAAACACTAGATAATGATTAACCTTTTGGTAATTAATCCAATCTTTATCGTTTTCTTATTAATTTGGAGGTTGAAATTTGAAGAATTACATGGTCTACAGGCATTTGCAAATGCCTGTTACTTTTTTATTCTTTTTTGTTTTTTACTTTAGGGATCTGTATTATAATTAAATAAAAATACCCTTTTTATTACCAACAAATGGAAATGAAGTCATTTTATATCAATTATGGAAATGAAGTTGTATGTAGGTGTAATGCGGTAAGGAGGATAAAATTGGCATTGCTAAGGTGTCTTCAATTACCGGTGGAATGGACTTTCACTTTGTCACCTTTGGAGGATTCAAGGTGCAAGAGTTATATATAGGGGTAAGATGGTCATTTTAAGTGGATTTAATATTTTTTTGTTAATGGTGGCAGTGAGATGGACCTAAAACATTAAAAAAGTTGAAATGATGACCAAATTTGCAAAAAAGTTTTTAATAGACTTAATCCAAAAATACATGATATGGACATAAACTGTAACTTATTTATTTATTTATTTTAATTTGTTTCTCATTAAGCATCATTGTACTTTGAAAGCATGTTTCTACATTTAAACACAGGGACCAAATTTGTATTCTACTTGTATTATTTTTTTTTTTATTAATACCAATTGGTTTTTAACTTATGCAACTTCTGTAGAGGGATTTTGAAGTTATTGGCAAGGAAAATGTTATACTATTGTAGGGACTGAAGAGGAAATGTTGAAATGGTACAAAATAATGAAATTAAAATTTTAAAAAAGTGTTTTTAGAACTCATAGAGTACTTTGAAAAGGTAATCCCATTAAACCATTGTACTTTATTTGTAATTATAGCATTGTACTTTGAAAATATACTTCAATCATGGTTTTAAGGCCACACACAACCACTTACGCACAGCCACACACATCACACAACGTGTGTGCTGTTTTATGTATATGGTTGTGTGTGTATGATTGAAGAAAATGCCTTGAATATTTTTTTTTTTGTCTATTTCTACTTATTTTAAACAA